ACGGGGGGCCTGGGCAGTCTCATTTATTCTAGTAAGGCAAGGCATCAGCATCCTGAGGTGATTGATTCCATCGAAGTCATCCAGCATTGGTTCTTTGTCTGCGCCGCCAGAAAGCAAATAACCAGAGAGATGCAGCTGAGCACCAGGCTTGCCTGCTGGGATTCCGAGAAGCTCTCTCCCACTGCTCCTGCAAAGCAAATGCATGCGGGTGGTTCTCGAGAACACCCTACAGATCTACAGCAACTGCTCAATATTTTGTGTGATAGACTTTGGTGGGCCCTGACTAGCCAAGCTCCTAGCAAGCACAACGTTTCAACAAGCATCTCCTGTATCCGCTGCTGCCGCTGCTTGCGCAATTCCCTCTCTTCACCTGAGGTTGCAAGCTCGCTTCTCTGGCAGCCCCCTGTGTCGCACAGGCATCGTCGCTGACAGCATCTCGGTGACCGGCTCTCCACCTGTCGAGCAGCAGCAGAGACTATGGCACCTGCCAACGCACCACCTGACCAGTTCGGAGGTAGCAGCATCAGCCCTACAGCAATTGAGGCTCAGCACGAATCCTAGCCGACACGATTCTTGTCCTTGTCCAATTTGCCTAAACAAGGCTAGAAGTGACAGCCCACCGCCCAAAGCCAGAAACCCTCTACACCCAGCTGGACAGCGCATCAGAATTGTCATGAGACTACCCCTATGATTGGACCTATAACTACGATAACAGGACTTTCTGCTCAACCCGGAACCCTACACACCTGCTTCATATCTAGTGGCTGTACGATATCTCACGAGGAGTACATTATAGCCCCTGCTATCTAGGGGACCACCCTCAAGATCCTCAACCATGTCGGACTAGGCCTGACTTCACCGCGGCCCGCCGTTCTGCTGGCGTGGTGGGGAGTGGGACCTTGAAGCTCCCCGATAGGCATAGGGAGCAACAAAACGCTCTATGCATGGAACAAATAGGCCCGAACGTGCATAAGAGGGAACATGAAGCCTTATTCGGGTTATCAGGCAGATGTTGTATATGTATGTGGATAGGTACGTTTCGGGTTGTACGCTCTCAACATGCAAAATACAAGTCTGGGTGCCTTGCAGTGAAACACGCTTTTTCTGTTGTGTACTGTGTGTACATTCCGCCCTTGGCTTGTAATCCCCTCCCCCCTAATAGGAAAAAGCCTACCACCTCGACTATACCCACACATGCACGTACGTATATACACGTGTATATATATATATGAATATTGGGTACTATGTTGGGAACATTTTTTTCGGGCAGGAGGAAGAGATAAAGTTCAGAAACTCTCGGGCCAGTGCTGCACCCGTCGGTAGCTCCAACAGCCTCTTTGGGGCTGCTCTTGCGGAACTTGAACTGAGTCAATAATTGGGATAATGGAAAAGAAAATGGAAACTACAGGGATTATAAGGGTTTATATAGGGATTATAGAGTATATATATTGGGGTTATATTGGGATAACGGAAAAGACAATGGAAACTACTATAGATTACCCC